GGAGTACAAAATAACATTGACTATCATGCCAAAATAACCACTGGTTCGTCACTCAAAAAGGAAGTCCTTTTACTAATGTATTTTTTCTAATAGTAAAGGTAGTAGCTTTTACCACTTGAAGATAAATAACTATAAAAATAATATTTGATTGTTCCAGGGGCTGACTACATTTGGTTTACATGTTGCTCGTCAGATTTAGACATCAGACCATTAAAATTACTTCTGTGTGAAGAAGATCAACAACTAGCTTTCTTAAATATTTTTCCCTTATATTTTTTGTCTTAAGGTATTTATAAGGATCAATAATTATAATACGTTTTGTTGTGTCGCTTGTCATGCAGCTATCTGCACCAAACATGCCATGGATTTGAAATAGCCTGAAGTTAAGAGATCTGCTTGTATTGCTTCCATTGTAGATGTTTTCTTTTCATTGAGTCATCATCTGAGATCCTGTAAATAAATTGGAAATCTATTTAACTAAATTAATCAGAGCGTAGAGGAGTGCAGGAATATTCCCTAGGAGTAACAGAGTGTAGATTTATTTTTCATTTAGCACAAAAGTCTGATATAGAAGTTTAAACTTAGAACTAATAATTTTCAGGCTGACATAATTATAATTGATAAAATTAACCATCTTATATAAAAAGTATAGATTAAGGAAAGAATACTAAAGTATAGATTAAGAAAAGAATGCTAAAAAATGGCCAAAAGTAAACCCAACATGTATTTAATGCCAAAAAAAGAAAATTTCTCAAATATGATGTATTCTTTTTATGCTTAGTATTTTATATTCTTGGGTTGCTCACCTGTTACTTGCATGCACACCATGAAAGGATGTTAGAAGAAAAAAAAGTGTATATAAAGGATGTGTTGTCTTGAACTTTCAGATAAAAGTAAAGGCTGCAAATCCAGGAAGGCTCACCAGTTTTGTTTTCTCTTTTTCTGCTTCATCATACTTTCCTGCTGATTCATCTATACTGCACATTTGAAAATACTAAAAGCATGGCATAATGCTTATATTATACGACTGCGAGTATTTAATAGAGCTGTAATGATTGCATGTCACTTTAAGCAAACACAGAAGAAAAACTGTACCAGGGATTTTAGCTGCATGCTTTGGAGTTAGTCCTGTAAGTTACAGTTTATACTTTGGAAAACATGAATCAGTAAGTGAAAAATACTCTTTGCATGTGCTTTTCTCATAATTAGTTCATGATAAAACCCATCCTATAGGACAGTTTGTTAAACAGTGCATGTGATCTTCTTAATTTTTTTTTGTCAGTTCGTTATGCTAAATAAAAGAGTAGAAGCAAAAGGTACAGTTCTCTTTAGAGCTAACGTGGATGCATTCATTTGCAAGTGAATCTGAAGTTGGTTTGCAGAACTCTGCTGGTGCTTTTACATACATCTCTTTTCTCTCCATTCTTCTCCTTCCTCTTACAGCAGTCTTAGCTGTGGCAGTAGCTTACTTAATTTTGAGTAGGCAAACTGCTCTTATGCACTTGTAGTATAGCCTCAAAGTGAAAACAACCCATATTTTTTCTACCCTCAGCAGAATCTGAACACCTTGCCCTTTTCCTATTCCTGTGTTTATTTCCTCTAATTTCTTTTTCCTATCTCAGTAAGGTGTGATTTTTTTTTCTCTAGTTGCTTTAAGATGCTTATCATTAGGTATGTATCTCTGAATAACCAGATGCAGGAACAATTTTTATTTCCAATCTGGATGATGACATTGGGAATCCACCCATGTGATCCATCATGTTAGTTTAATCAATTGTGTTTGTCAATTTTGTCTTGTATTCAATTTCAAGTTTTAAGATATTTTAAAAGTTAGAGATTACTAGGACTCCATTGAAATATGACGTTTGCTCATACCAAGTTATTTTAAACTTTTTGATGGGTGCCAATGCTCAAAAAAGGTTTTAACACTAGCATTAGCTATAAGTCTGGAAAAAAATCTTAGCAGAGTTCTATTTGTATTAATAGTAATCCAAGCTGATAGTAGATGCAGACAGCTAAAGCCTCTTAGGCTGAACACAGTAATTCTGATGTTGCAGCAAAACCTTGGTATACATCAAATGCATAATTAAGAGAGATGATACTCTAGCTGAAAGACATTTTTGAGATGTGGTGAGAATACCACGTTGTCACTCAGAAGAATAGTGGTTATTCTGGGTCTTTGTCTCCAAAAGGAAAAAAAAAGTCATGTCTGAGAAGGAAGCCTTAAATAACAGGTCAAAACTCAACTGTGGTACTCTCCTTTTCCTTCATCTCGTGTCTCCAGAGGGGCTACTGACTTTCCTGGGGTGCTGTGAAGTTTCACTTTCATGTGAAAAGGTAAATTGGTGCACTCTCAAATTAAAGTACATTTCAAATGAGCCTGTTTAGCAGCAATGTTGGGGGAGGGAAGGTATGAGAGGCATTTTGTTTCTTAAGTTCATTCAGTAGCACTTGTTAAGCAGCTAAACTTCAGAGCAGTGTTTCTTTGCTAGTTTGCAGCTTTTGAAATGTGGCTCTAATTTTTTTTTTTTTTAATGTATGTAAAGAAAGGGAGAAGGGAAAGGAAAAATTAGAAGGAAGGAAAGGTAGTTCCTTGTTTGGTGCTTTAACTTAGTTAATTTAACAGTTAATTTAACAGATTACAGTTTTGAGAGGAACAGATCGTGATGTGAACCTTTCAGGTCTTGATAATGTGCCATGACTACACTTAAAAAGAACTGCAAATTCCAGTTTCCAACCTGTGATTTTGCCCCCAGAAATCTCAAATAGTATTTTAGGGAGCACTACAAGTGTATTAATGTATAAGCAATGTGCAGAAACATAGGAGAAAGCCATGTTTAAGGTATTTGGTGATGTTATATCTGCACCCAAAGCTGATTTAACGGCCCCTCTTTTGAAATGGTAGCATGAATATTCCATAGCTACAAGTCAATTTAGAGTCTGGACTAGCATGTCATTTTTTTCATGAAAGACCAGTGGCCATTATTGCTTTCAAACATGCCAATGTTATTTTGTACTATTTGATAAACAGCCTTGAGTTGGCCAGAGAGTACTTCCTAGAACTGAGATATTTTTGCAGTTATGAAAGGAGTTATAGCATCTCATGCAAATGCTATTACCACCTTGCTGAAATGCCATGGAAGTAATCTCTTGTTCACTTATTCTTTTTTATTCAAAAATCCATGTATGAATTTCTGTGGTCGACAAAGATGGTGTTTTCTCTGACAAAAGCTGAACAAAAAGCCAGTCCAAGGAAGCAAAGTATTCCTTGGCTGAGCAGTCAGGTCCTGCCCTAACAAGGAGAATGACTTGTGTCTTGTAATGCTTTCCCAACACTTGTGGAAGGAGAAGGAAGACATGCCCATGAGAGGAGCAGCAGTTTATCTGTGGGAATCAAAACAACAAGCAGTATTTAGTTTGCTGCCTCCAGTCCTTTCCTCTCCCGATTCTGAGTGGGTGTTAAAACCCACCTAATGATGGGGTCAGCATGGTTTATGTAACCTTCACTGTGCATGCCTTCTCTACACAAACCACTGGGCAAGAGCTCGTGCATCCTGGTGGATTGGCATGAAAAAAGGGGACTCCTCTCCTTTGCCGTAGTGCATCTGGAATTCAGCTGGATAGATCACGGACAGAATTAAGATTTTTGCTCTTTAGTGTGTGCTAAGGGATCCTGTTCCAAAACTCTTCAGAGCTTGGAAGTGGGATAGAAAGACAAAAATTGGCCTTCCATGGGCCATCCCTGTCTTGTGGAGCAGGGAATCAGTTTCCTGTACGTTATTTCCCACTCATATTGTGCCCTTCCCCCTTAAAACTTTAGGAAAGTAAGGCCAGAGTCCCAGCAATGTCTGCACTGAATTGCATGCAGGAACAATCAAGGACCACAGTATGGTTTTTAGTGCTCGGTCGTGTTTCCAGATGACGATGAAGTTGCAGCCTAATTCAACCACAATCCTTTTGTCTTTATGTTGCTGGGAAAATTGAGATTAGCTCTTGATGTTATTCAAATTCTACTGTAATTTTTCAGGTGTTTTATGTGCCTGCCTATATCAATGAAAAGTAAAGGGAAATACCAAACTACCAATGCACAGGAGTTGAAATCGTGAAGAATATTTCAATTAACTGTGTGTTGAACTTCACAAGTGATTTTGGGATGTAATGAACTATAAATGTGGATTTAAACCCCCTAAATGATACTCACAAAGGAAGCTTTTTTGTGAGATCCATAGTGAAAAGTGAGAAAAAAGTACTATTGGTAATTTTAAATGTTTTATTTGGGGGTGACCTAAACTAAAACCGATCAGTTAACTTTTCTTCATGTTTTAAAATTAAAGTATGAATTTAAATTGCTGTTAGCTGCAGCCTTCACTCTGCTCATTATTTAGCTTTTATATTTTTAGAGAACAGTATTTATATTTGGTATTTAATTGTAGGAACTGTAGAAACTCGAGGTATATTTTCAGTTGTATTGTTAGTTTTATAATGCTCATGAAGCTAGTGGTTTTAAAACTTCTGACTAGCTTCTGCTTTTCAAAATATTGCATCTGTTAATGACTGCATTTTACTAGCTTTCCCTGTGGTTATCTCAGTGGGATACTCCAAGTCTGGAATGAGTGCTTGTGGAAAGTATGGCAAGAGTGGACCTTATACACGTGGCTTCTAAATGTCCTGTGCATTAATTGTAATATCTGAATTAATTTTAGCTGTAATAATGCTGTAAGGTTTTGTTGGCATTCTTTGGTATTGTAGTCGAACTATGGAGTACAGTTTCATAACATGCTTGTAAAAATCATTTAACAGACTGAGTTAAAATTTATGTGTGTAATCTTACATTAAATCTAATATGGCATATGTGTAATATACAACCTACTGAACTAATGTCAAAGCAATGTACATTAATAATTCATTCTCTGCTATATTTACTTGCTTTCATAATGAGATTTTAAAAATTAGGAATGTAAATAAATACTTTTTCATTGTATTTTTTTTTTCTTTAACAGGACACTACAAGTATAGAAAAAATGTCAAACTGTTGTGAAGACATGTAAGTTCTATAAAATTCCTACATTGCTGAAATGCTAAGGGAGTAGCTGTTTGTTAAGATGATTTTGCATGGTACTATGCTCTGTACTTCCTATCTCTAGCAACACTTCTCTAATCTTTTAATAGTGGTTGTACACAAAATAGCCTCATGTTCCCTTTCTTTTCCTACCCAAAGCCAGTGAAACTATATTTTCTTTTCATAACTACAGACCAAAAGATACTTTCTGCAGTGTTTTGATGTACATTTCTTTAATATTGAGTTCTCCTGTACTTCAGAAGGTGCCTTTGTTTGATTGATGATACAGATAGTTTCTGTTCCCCAAAGCTGAGTCACAGCTGTGTGTCGTAATGAAATAAAAGTTGTATTTGTGATGCTTGGACACAGTTCATCAGAGTACAGTATTGTATCCCCAGCCAGCCTACATTGTTGTAGCTGACTGAAGTGCACTGTGGGCATGCTGTCTTTCACTAATAATGCTGTCTTCTCTAGATCGAGGCCCCGAAAGCCATGGCAGCAGACCTTCTCAGAAGTTTTTGGCACTCACTGGAAGATCCTGTGGTTTATTCCTTTCAGGCAGAGGCAGCCACTGCGAGTTCCCTACCACTTTGCCAATCATGTCTAAACAGATGGATGGTGGGTGCAGATGGGTCCTCCATGTTGGAAGTACATTACAGGTTTTATGATAATGGGACTATGACAGTCTTCAAGTCAGTTAAAATCCAGTTGTAGGCATCACAGTGTGCCCTGGGCATTCCTTTAGCTATGGTCTTGATTCCATTCTGAAATTAATGCAAGTTAAACCATCAACTTCAGGCTTATTTACTTTCAAATTAGCTTTCCAAAGAGATTCCTTTTGCCTTTGAGGTTAATACCAAAAGCAAACAACTGGAAAATAGTCTTCATCCAGTTTGATGCTGGCACTTTTTTTTCTTTTTTTTTTTTCTTTTTTTTCTTTCTTTTTTATTTTTTGTGTAGGAAGTACTGAAGTTTGCATTGGTTAGATTTCTCACTAAGTGTCTTATTCTGCCTTGAAATTTTTCTTTTAGGATTTTTATCAGTAGGTCTGTCTGGAAAATAATAATAATAATGTGGGGTTTTTTCCTGCTACATACGTTTAAAAGTCCATGTTTCTGTCAGTTATTTATGATAAGCAAAAGTAATCCTACAGCACTGCACTATAAAAGGTAACATTTAAAGCTGAAGCAGAGTACTTCCTAAACCTTTCTTGGAGAGGTTTTGTAAAGGCACACAAATGTGTGTGTTTACATAGAGAACAGTTTACAGTTTATAGTTACCTTTTGGCCTAGATATGATGTTAGTGAAAAGTGTTCATCTGTTTATGTCAGTGAGGGGGATTAAATATTTCGGGGGAACTATGCAAGTAAAAAGCATGTTTTCCCTAAATCCCAAGGATTCAAATCAGCAATAATCAGCAAAGAAGTTGCATGGTGCAAATACTAGAATGATTACTTTTGAGAAATAGAGGTGTAATTAGTTAGTATAATGTACCATAAAGAAGAGTATATTGTCAGTAAAGTTAAAAATTTTATAATTACTTTTCTTTAGTCCTGATTAGCTGAAATTGGTCTAAATGTTTGTATATTGAAAATAAAAGTAATTAAAAATATTTATACAAAAATATAGATTTGCTACTAACATGAACAGTGAAGTCTATTAACACATTTAATAGGGTACTGTGTTGGTGTAGATAGCATGTTGTTTGTTTAAATATGGAAGTAGGTTAACCAAAGAAAGCATCTTTCAGATCTGGTAAAATGATACCTATTTCCAAAGTACCAGCTCAGTCTTCTTGTGTCTGGAAAAATTATGTACTTACTTTAGCGCTCTGTATCTATACAACTATTCGCTTCAGATGATTGTGAAAACTACTATGGATTTCTAGGAGAAATTCACAGTTCAGTGTTTCCAGTTATACTGCTTACTGTGTTTGTTGCATAGTCTAACAGGACTAGGATCCACCTTAAATTGCAGCCATGCAGCAGGACACAATAAAAGACACAAATTCAGGTTTTAATGTATTTATATTGTGCAGAAAGTAAGTTTATTTGTGAACAGTTACTTCAAAAAAAGGTAAGATTTTTCATTACTGGTGTCCACAAAAAATTTTAGATCGACAGTTTTAAATTCTTAGTACAGTTACTGCCAATGTTAGGTGTCCCTTTATTGATTATTGATGATCAATTGAAAGTTCCAAAAAGTGTATCTTAAAAATCGTTTGAACTTTAAGCTTTTGTAAACGCCTAACACTTCATCCAACTTTACTTTTCTTGTCCTTTTAAAAATAAATGCAATGTTTTGTTAATTTAAATTTCAAGCCTAATGTTCAACCATTTTCCTTTTATTTTTCCTCGTGCCAATTGTAGTGAGGTTAGACTTTCTTTCAAGTGGTATTGGCATATCGGTAGTATAGTTAAAGAAGCTTGAGGAAATGGGTGAAAAGACTGGAACAGTGTTTGAAATTGAAAGGGATGTGGATATACATAATAAAGTAATTTTCTTCCCTCCCTCCCTCCCCCACTATTTAGTCTATATTTTAGGAATATACAGGGAAATAATATTTCGTTTTCCATGACAATATTTAAATGTTCTGTGAGTCAAACATAATTCGAAGTTTTTAATGCTAATCAGTTATCAGAGCAGATTGTACAGTTCTGAACCTTATTCAGAAAGAGAACCAAGAATTTAACTAATTTTGGTGTATTTATTCTGGGGTATATCATTGTGTGTTTTGCTTCCCGGTATTACTGTTTTGGTGAATGCCACCATGCATTCACCAAATGGAGCTTGGAGCACCAAGCCCTGGGATGGTGGGGTCCCTGGAGCAGCCCCGGGATCCGCGGCTGTGTCGCACACCACCCATGGCCCCTGTCACCCACTGTGCCCGCTGCTGCTCTGGCAACACTTAAATGACCAAAAGACAAACCTGGAGGCTGGACTATCAGTTATACTTTCTAGCCAGTGATGTTCCTGAAAATATTGCCTGTTCTTCAAGCAAAAGCACTAGTTCCACAAAGTTTTGTTCTGAAATATCTCCGTATTTTTGATTTCTTTTTAAATCCTCATTTTCTCAGTCTCCTACTCATAGCATTAGGAATAAATTTGCAACATGATTGAGACTGCTAGTTCATTTCTGTCGCTTTTCTAAGTATTTGGGGGACAAAGGGGGAAGTTTGGAGGGACTTGATATTTTAGGAGGTACTAAACCTTGTTCTTTGAATGAGAGGCCTCTAAAATGGTAAAAAGTAATAATTTTTTCTTAATTTGACTGAAGGACTCTATCATGTTATTAGTTTCTCCAAGTCATGTTTCTGAAACTAATTCTCAAAGTGGGTTGTTCTTCCAGGAGAAATCAGACTTCTACAAACCAATTTGATATCCTTCAGACCTTGAAATTCTCGAATCCTTCAAACCATTGTTTCCTTTCCCTCCAAGTCTTCCGTAAGATTCCTTATTTTAGTAGAAACAGCATTTTTAAGATTTATTAGTGTAGCCGTGGAAAGGGGTTTTAACCCTTAAATGCGGCAGAAATAAGATGCACAGCTACATGGTCGTCTTTCATGACAGAAAGAAAGAGACAAGTTTATTCAGAAACACACTTGGTTTTATAGCATGACTCACAATTCCAAGAGTAGAGAAAAGGTGATTGGTTCAGAGAGAAGACACCCCATTCCCAGGGCCTGCTCACACACCACAACAGGTGTTCTATCTTGTTATGAATTCCTTTTTATTTAGACCAAATTATCACCCTGGGAGAAATTCTCCCTAGCCTTAAGCTGGACCAGCTTATCGGCTGGGAACAGAGCTGAAAAGCTCCAGCCTGGAATATTTTTCAGGCTGTAATTTTCTTACTTTCTCAATAGGTGTCCCACAGATTAGTGTTTGTTGTTTTTATGCATTAAAAAAATCTTACAGTGTTACTAAATTTAATCTTAATATCAGAACAACACATGCTTTATTGAGAAAATTGAATATTATCTTCTGACTTGGCAATATTTAATTTCCTGAGAGGCACAAAGATAACTTAAAGAACCAGTGAACTTCTCCCTGAGAACATGTGGAAGTAGCTGGTTTATTTGCAAAGTGAGATAACTTCTGGTAGGACCAAAGAATGTTAACTTGCTATCTTCTCATAATCAGAAATTTGAGATGTCATTTGAAAAATGCTGGTGTCTAAAATAAAAGATAATGCATTAAATAACGTTTGTGAATCTGTCCTCTGATCTGTTGCTTAAAAGGAGAGATTCCATCACACAGCTGGTCTAGCAGTTCAAGTACACAATCATTTTCAGTCTTGAGGAGTTACGAGTCTTGAAATCTCATATACATGGAATTTTAAGAATAAATTTTCTACGCGTTAACACACATAGCTTTTAAAATATATTCTGAACTGTTCTTCAGATATTCTGATAATTATTTTGATTCATTAGTTTATAAATACATGGTTAATAAAACACCAAGTAAGATGTCACGCTTAACCCCAGTCAGCAACTAAGCGCCACTGAGCCACTCAGTCATTTCCCCCGGCAGGATTAGGAGGAGAATTGGAAGAGTGAAAATCTGAAACTCTTAGGTCAAGATAAGGACAATCTATAGGTTTGCTAGATAAAACAAAGGCCATGAAAGCAAGCAAAGCAAAATAAAGAATTATTTGCTGCTTCTCATGGTCAGGCTGGTGTTCAGCCAGCTGTGAGAAAGCAGGGCTGCAGCACACATGACAGTGACTGGGGAAGACAAGCACCATCACTCCAAACATTTGTGTATTCCTTCTTCTCCCAACTCTGTTTGCTGAGTGTGACACCGTGTGGTATGGAATATCCCTGGAATCAGTTGGGGTCAGCTGTCCCAGCTGTGTCCCCTCTCAACTCCTTATGCACTCCCAGCCTCCTTGATGGGATGGTGTAAGGAGCAGAAAAGGCCCTGTCACTGTGATGACGATATTTCAGAAAATGTTCCTCGAAAGATTTTTGCACTACTTTCTCAGTGGCTGAGCATTTGACCTTGGGAGGCATTGAAATACTTGTATCTGTGGACTGCATAAGGCCTAGGATTTCAGTTCTGCTGAAATTATCGAGTGGCATCTTGTGTCTTGACCAGACTACAGCAAAGTGGTTAAAGCCATTTGTTGCAACAAGGGGCATTTAAGTATCAACTGTATAACTGTAAGAATAAGTTATATTTACAGTGGTTTTCAAATTAGAAAATATGAAATTTAACTCCTAATTTCGGTGCATTCCTGGGCATTTCTGTGCACATTCCCAGGACTGATATCTATATATCACAGTAGTCTACAGACAGAAAATTGTCATTCTCTCTTTAACAGGCAGAAAAATAGTTCTGCTTTTTGTAAACTAGCACTCTGAATTTTGTAGCTCATACATGGGTATGTGATTGAGTTTTATTCAATTGTTCTTAATTTGATCTTGACTATTTTCAGATAATGCTAAATGAAGTTCCTACTGGAGTTGTTGAAAATCATGGGGTGTAACACTGGTTATGCCTGAATGGTAATGTACAAGGTGAATGACTGAAAAATAGCAAAACCGGAAAGCGTACTCTGGTATTCTTTTAATCAAATCTGAAAATGCAAGAGTATGTTCAGCTGATATGCAATGTATTGTTTTAATTTATCTTCATTTCTTTCATTAATGTAATGTTTTTCTGAGATTCTCTAAAATTGATTTAAGTTATGGTTTATTTTTTTCACTCCTACTGAGAATTATTTTGTTCTGTATTTTTATGGAATCTTATTTTTAAATAAAAAATTTAAAAGTTTCTTTCTCTTCACTGAATTTCATTTATATTGATTTAGAGTTGTGTAAATTGTTTACTATTATTTTTCAAGCTGTTTGTAGATTTTTCTAATTGTGTTATAAATTACTCTTACTGCTGTATATTTTTTATTGTGACAAGTGAAAAAGCTGCAATCCCAAATGATTGTTTTGAAAAAATGAACTGTGAAAAATTGCTGAATAGTTAGTGAGGTTCTTACTATCTGAGTTTTGTTGTTTGCTTTTAAGACAAGAGCTGAATATTGGTGGAAGTATTGAAAACTTCCTCTGTTAGGAGTAGTCTACCAACTAGTATTGGTATACAACACTAGTTATAGTATTGGTTAAATTTGTCTACATAATCACAGTACCAGCTAGATTAGGAACCTCTGATGTAGGTATCAACTTAGATTTATATAAATTGCCATTTTTCGAATTGCAGAGTTTGGAGGTTTTTTAATCTTTGAGCCTTTTTTCTTTTTTTTTTTTTCCTCTTTTTTTTTAACAATGTCTTAGATCATTCATCCTTGGAGCAGTTTTTGAGAGAGCTAAATGTATCTGAATCCGCAGCTCTTCTGTTTTGTGTACATGGAATTTATGTCAGATTTTGATGCAGAAAAATTTCACACGCTTTGTTCTATTTCAAATGAGATACTAGTTTTAAAGATGTAAAAAGAAGTGCAGCAGTGGCCACAGGAAAAAATTTTAGAGAGCAATAAAACAAAAGGTGCTCGCTGTGGTACAAGCAGTAGTTTCAGCTTTAGAAGTACAGGGAAGATTTTAGACACCTGGGAAGATAACTGCGTGACTAATAAGCCCAAGAAAAAAACCCCAGTGGTTATGTCTGCAAGGAAACGATTAACATAGCTGAACTTGTCACTTCATGAATCAGGAGGCACAAACTACATGGCGATGGTTTGCGGTAAAGGCCTTGCATCTTCTGTTTCAACCCAAGAAGCGGATTCTGCCAATAACAGTAATAAAAATCACTTCCATATTGATCTTTCCACAGTGCCCTAAAAACAGCCTATAAAATTCTGTGTTCTGTGTGTATTCCAAAAAAACGCTGTTCTTACCTGCTGTGAAAATTCTGTGTTCTGTGTGTATTCCAAAAAAAAGCTGTTCTTACCTGCTGTGAAAATGTCCGTTTCTC